TGGATATTTGTAAAATATCAATCTTGAATCATTAGTTTTCGCATTTTTTGAAGCTCAAAAACGTTATAAAAATCTCATTTGCGCGTCCAATATACGTACCTCAGCGTGACGAGCTGTAAAAATTACTCTATTTTCAAGGTCATTAAGTTGGCACAACCAAACTAAATAATTACCTTAAATTACTACTATTTCTGTAAAACAATCAGTGTAAAACTCAATCAAAAATGATAAAATTATAGTGTAGTGAATTATTTGTTTTTTAATAAAGTTTTGTAAAAGGTTATGCCTTAAAAAACGCCACAATTTTGAAAGATGTTTATGTACATTAATTATTTATTGAACGACCGTCGTGAAAGTGAATATAAGAATCATATAGAATTATTGAACAATGTGGAAGGTGTAGTTAATGCATGAGTGTTTCAGTCTATTGCGAATTGCATAATACTCAACATTTGCTAAGGCGGTTGACTGTTCTCTTCGTTTTCCGTCTAAAAATGGACTACAACATTAGAATTTAGATCAGTAAGCGAACGCGAATGTATAACTTAGCCTTTCACAACGGATTAAAAGTAGTCGATGACGACCTTCGTGAACGGTTTATTATACTTACACACTACGTAATATGCGGACAATTTAGTAACAGAATATTAGTCTAAGGCTATACACACGTACATACATATAATATAGTTTATCTATTTATGCAGAATTTGAAATGACTTAATCAAAAATAATAACAGGAGATTTTATAACTGCAATTAGGATCTGTCTGATAATTTAAAATTCAACAATTTGGGTTATGCAAAAGTTATACTAACTTATCTAGTGTTTATTTTTAAGTATGTCAGTGATTTACATTTTTGGAACTAGATTTTACCTTTACACTCATAAGACATAAAAATAACAGCATAGTTGTAGCCATTTAACATTGAAAAGCTGAAAATCATAGAAAAAACGCACAACTTCTATTGAAGTTCGGGCTTATGTGCCATAGACATATATTAATGGAGGTGCCTTTGCCATATGTCGTTGTAATAATTTCTTGGCTCGAAAAGTGAGGGAGATGGATATTGTCCGAAACTTCGTTCCTTCACTTTCTTTTGTTGTACCACAATTCTGACCGCTAAGGCATGTCCATTAGTAAACGTCAATGTTATGTGCCATGGCACCATCTTGCATTAAAATCCAAACATTTATTGTGTTAACTCTCCCATGTGTCAGATCAGGGTTGGAAAGGTTTCCAATATTGAAACATGCAATGTAGATGTTACAGATACAGTTGTTACTCTTTTATCGTCGAAGAAAAAGGCCTGATCATTCCAGAAAGGCTTACAGCGCACCAAACGGCGGCTTTCAGACTGTGAAATAAACGTTATTACAGTTCACGGTTTTAGATAGATCATAAATGGTAGACAGGAATGTAACTATCCATTTTGGGCCCGGGGCGGAGATTATTGATTGTCTTGCGAATATCACTGAATAGTCAAAATTTTCGCAACAACAACACAAAGTCAAGTGCAAATGTCAATTTCAGGCAATGCAGCCAGTACAAATATCGATCCTAGGCTGTTTATTGTCTAGGTGTAGATCGATGTAAAATTCAATGGCGATTAATAAACATCACCCAGGAAACAAGGTTTACAGGGGCTCCTTTGGTATCGGGTCCAGGGCGAATCGCCCCCCTCAGTCCCCCTCATTGTACCACTTACAGTGAGAAGACAACGCTGCCCTAAACTGGTGGATATTTTGTACTTCTTCCAATAATAATAACGGATAATAAAAATTAAAACTTACCTTGAACTGTTACCGTTTGTGAGATTTTATAAGCCAATCACTGTATACTTAGGTGTGGGTATATTTTACATAAATGATATCATGCAGTTTACGCAAGGAAAACAATTCGGAAATTAAAATGACTATATGATTCATATTAAGCAAACTGACACAGTTTGTCATTGAATAATTTACTTCTAATATCGCATTACCGGAAATGTATGGAGATATATTCTGCACTGATTTTAAGTAGTAAAACTGCTCAGTTATATGTTCTAATTTTAATGTTTTTTTAGAAATAAATTAAAAAAGTACTTCATTATGTCTAATGCCACATTAAAAAAATTTAATATAAAAAAAGCTTTAAAGGTGGAAAGGGAAACTGGTATCATAGATATATTAGTATACGATTCGTTTGAATTGTTGATTTTAAAACGCAGTTAATCTTGTAATGCTAGTATCTAGTGAAAGAAGTCCAAAACGCAGTTCATCATATACAATATCTTCATAAAACTGTAAACTACTTCTAAAAAATCCTTGAATCTTGCTTAACTTTTAGTGATCACAATTCTTAGATAAGTTATGGAAAAAAGAGAATTTTTACTAACGTAAAAACGATTTTATGACGTGATAAATTTCTGTCCTTAATAAAAAAAAAAAGAAGAAGATGTCCTTAGGCCCATCACCCACTTGCAAGTTTTAGTTGCGAAACATTTTTGTTGCAGTTGTACGAGGGTGGATTGATAAGTTTCCGGCCTAACCAAGAGATGACGCCACTAGGCCTACCTTGAGGTGACATTCTATAGTACCATCCTTGGATAGCTTGTAGCTATAGTTTCAGCCCGATCTCCTTGCTAGTGTAGGTTTGACAGCACG